GCGGTGTGGTGGTTTAGACACCAGATTCCACATGGCCGACCGCGGTTCGAGCCCTGCACCTGGTGGCTTGAAAATCATGCCAGGTGCGTGTGCGTGCGTGCCCAAATCCTAGGAGGAGAACGGAGGAGAAGGGACTGCGGCGTGGCCATCCCCCCCGGGGGTGACTGCTCACTTTCCCTCTCTGTCTTTCTGTGGTGCGTGCACACACCCTACAGCAAAAACCACAATAACTAAATAATGAAGAGGAATTGACACGCACGCTCGGGGAGGGCGCCGTGCCGAGGGAGACCACGCTCACACCAGACCAGGAGGGAGACGCAGGGGGCGCACCGTCCTCCCTGGAGGGCGCCAGAGCGGCCGCGCCATCCGCTGCGGAACTCCGGCCTCAGAGACAGGGCCCGACGTTCCCTCCCTCCCTCCCTCCCTCCCTCCCTCCTTTGTTTTCGGAAGTTCTTTTCTGTCTGTTTGTTCCCATGAGTGAGAGAGGCAGAGACGCAGCACCCCGGACAGCGGCTTAACACCGCCCCAGCACCGCCCGGACCGTGCGGACACACGTGGATCTGCCGCACTCAGGGAGGCTCGGAAAATGTACCCCAACTTCCCCAGAGGGTCGGCCCTACAGACATCAAGCCGCCCCACAGCCAGGACACCCCCATGGCAACCTGAGGACACCCGTGTGTACGTCAAGGAGTCACTGCCTCCTCTGCAGAACGTCAGGCCTCCCCGCACCGCCATGGGGCCTTATTTGGAAACACCATGCAGATGTCAGGCTAAGATGGCCTCATGCTGGCTGAGGGGGCCCTAAGTGCAATGACCAGGGTCCCTATAGGGGACAGAACAGGAGACACAGAGACAGAGAAAGGGGCAGAGACGGGAGTGACGGAGCCATAAGCCAAGGGACGTCTGGAGCCCCCGGGAGCTGGGAGAGGAGGAAGGTGCCTCCCCTGGGAGCTGGGAGAGGAGGAAAGAGCCTCCCCTGGGCCCTGGGAGAGGAGGAAGGAGCCTCCCCTGGGAGCTGGGAGAGGGGGTAGGAGGCTCGCCTGGGCCCTGGGAGGGTGG